TGTGTTCAGCATCTTAACCATTTACAGCCCAGTGTCTAACAATGCAACAACTCATAGTGTGGGGAAGATTTTTTTGCCAGCTGCTCCTTAGACAAAGGACTACTATCTAAAATACATAAAGAACTAAGAAAAATCAGACCCCACAAATTTAAAGACCAAATCCAAAAAGTAGGCATCTGTAATGAATAGACACTTCTTAGATAAAGAAGTAGAGGTGATAATAAATATACGGAAAAATGTCTCACATCACTCCTCATTCAAGAGATGCGAATTTAAACAATGCTGAGATTCCATCGCACTTCAGAAAGAATGGCTACCAACAAGAAATCAACAAAAGACCAATGGCAGGGCCGTGGGGAAAAAGAAACCCTTTTGTACTGTTGGTAGGGATATAGACTTGTACAACCACTGTGAAAATCAGCATGGAGATTTCTCAAAAAAATACAACTAAAGGTTCCATTTTACCCAGATATTCTCCTTCTTGGTATCTTTCCAAAAGAATTAAATGCATCATACTACAGTAATATATGTGCACCCTTGTTTATAGCAGAACAGTTTATAATGGCTAAATCTTAGAAACAACCAAAATGCCCATCAACTGGTGAATGGATAAAAGAGATACAGGATTTTTATACAATGGAATGCTACTGTGCCATAAATCAGGATAAGTTTGAGATATTCCTAGCTAAATGGCTGCACCGTGAGACCTTAAGTAAAATCAATATGACACACATGTTTAAAAACTGCACTGTTTCTCTGAAGTGAGAAACCAGAAGTGTAAATAAGGACCAACATATATAATAGATATTGGGAAATAATAAAAAAAAATGTTCAAATGAGTAGGGAAACAAGAGAAGGGAAGATGGAAAAAAGGAATGAAGGAACAAGAAAAGAGGAAAAATGGAAAGGAAGCTTTTGTAGCTAAAGAGGGGAAGAGAGGTTGAAAAGGGAAGGGGAATGAGGAAAAAGAAGAATCAAGACATATCATGTACAGGTACAAATTCCCGAGGATGAATGTGAGCATTAT